TCATCATCATCATCTGAGCTTCATCATCATCATCATCATCTTAGCTTCATCATCTGAGATTCATCTTCATCATCATCTTCATCAGACCTTCATCTTCATCATCAGACCTTCATCTTCATCATCATCACCTCATTTTACAGGCAGATAAACTGAAGACAATAATATAAAAAAAGTCTATCTTTGACCTTTGACCCTGGGGCCAGGTGATTTTTGAACGCCGTCTGAAACCCAGTCAGAGAAAAGTGCAGCCAAAGGGACTTATGATAATCCATCATTTTCTCTCTATAGTGCCCCACTCTGGCCACAGATTCTCCCTCGGCCACACATTCACGACCTTGATTGGGATAAACGACATACTTATGTCAGTTCTACCCCTGGTTCTCCTACCTCACCTCCTCCTCCTCCTCCTCCTCCTCCTCTCTCTCCACCATAAACTGGGTCATAGGCAAAATCCCACCATCTGTCAAAGATCACCAGCCTCTGGTTTCACATTCCACCAGTGAGCAGACCCCAGCCAACACACACACACACACACACACTCTCTCTCTCTCTCTCACACACACACTGAGGGGCTTCTCTGAATTATGCAGGACATGAAGTTGACTTCTGTCAACAATGCTTCTAAATACAGAGCTCTGCAGACAGTCAGGCCAGCAAATGTCACAGGGTTTGTCACGTCAGATCAACACACACACACACACACAGAAACACACACACAGTGTCACAGCATGTGGAGGGAACACAGTCGCTGGCTTTTGAACTGGCCTCAGCGGCTGGATGACATCAGCAGAGGTTCTCAAGGAGAAGATCTTCCACTGAGACCACCTGATCTAACAGAACATCGTTACATCAGTAGGGATTTTTATAAAAAATATATTTGTATTCTGAACAACTTCCCCTCAGAGATCAGAGATTTTTAATTCTGTGATCTCTGAGGTGAAGTTGTTTTTAATCTGACCTAATAATCTGACCAACAACTTCCTGTCAGACTTTCTAACCAGTTCTCTGATGATGGTGTGATTGAGGTTTTGCATTAAAGGAACTACATGGAGATGGAGTTGACCTTAGAGGTCAAACACTACCATACAGTTCTGCACCGGTCAGCTGTCCTGAAAATGTCCTGTTGAAGTGATGATCTGATAACTGCAGCGTCAGCAGTAATGGTAAAGAGTTAGAAAATATCACAATATTTTCTTTCCTGATTCTGTATCAATATCATCCACCATTGATTTTTTTATTACCAATTCCAAGTCAAATATTCCTAAGAAACCTGTCGTTTTCCCTCAGAATAACAACAACAACAACAACAACAACAACAACAACAACAATAATAATAATAATAATAATAATAATAATATAATAATAATAATAATAATGGTGTCGCGGTTCCACAGCTCACCGGTCAGCAGAGTGGTCTTTGTTCCACACAGACAAACCAACACGTCCAGAAAAGCTCCTCTGGTCACAGCGCAGGGATTCAGTCTGAAAAAAACCCCAAAACAACAGTCAAACATCCAGCCATCAGGCCAACTGTGGAATTACAACTGGAGTCAACGTGTGGAAGAAAATGAGAACTTTCACTAAAACTGCTACGAAAACGTTCCTCGAGATGAAAAACGTTCTTAAAACATTAAAACTGTTGAAACAAACGCAGCTGCGTTTAATTCAAGGACAACAGTCGACACCAACTGAGGACGATTCTAACAGGACAACAGTGTGTGTGTGTGTGTGTGTGTCGCTGAGGTCCAGTCCATACATCAACCTCCACACAGCAGAATAACATGTTGCTAACTGCTGCCGTTTCCGCTGCTCTGGGCTGAGCGGCGGTGAAATGATGGGGTGTCGGCGGCCGTCGTTGCGTCAATTATTTCAGCGAGACAGAAAAAGTCCAAAATGACAACACAGGGACGGTGTGAGGCCAAAACCAAACACCGACTCTCTGCACAGGAACAATGCATTCCATCCTTTTTGGAAGGTGACCGCGTCAAATTAGTGGTGTTCTGGATGAGAAGGGCAGAGTTTGTTCTTCCCCAAAAACACACAGATCCTCTGACCTGTGATG